TTTTTAAAATAAGGTTGGCTCAAATATTTGTTTTCCAATTTATCCAAATAAGTCTAAGTATCCTTTCAAAAGAAAAAAGTTAAGTATTTTTTATAAATTACATCTTCAACTAAAAAAAAATTAACAAAAATTGAATATTTTATAACATTTAGATTCTAAATACAGTAAAATAAAAAGTTTTAATATTATTTTCATATAATAAAATATCAAATTTTTATTTTTATTTTTAATAAAATTTAAAATTTTATTTGAATATTATCTGAAAATAATAATTAGATGGTGAATTCCCTTTAAATTCGATATATACTGCTAAGTAAGCAAAAAAAAAAAAAGCAGTGCTTCCTAATTGAAAAATTAAAGTCCAACCAAACATATCATATTGTACTGGAACTTGTAATAAAGTCTCACATGCGTTAGATGTGCTACAGACCACACATCAAATGGTTGTCCATGGTTACGTTGTTTTCAACATTTTTTTTTTGTTGTCCTCCTCAAACCTATATATGAAAACGTTTTTTTTCCTCTTTTTTTTTTTTTGTTTTGAAGTTTCTGTTTATGTTTAAAACTTTTTTTGTTTTATATTATTTTTTTATTCATTTTTTTAGAATGTTCTAAAATTTTATATATATTTATTCTTTATACTCAAAAATTATTCCTTGTGTTTCTAATGATTCATGTCTTCTATTTTCAGAGAAAAAACACCGTCTATGATTTTTTTTTGTTAAATATTGATCAAATTGAAATATAAAGTATTGGGTTTTTTTTTTTTTTTGCGCATGTATGACGGAAATATTTTGCCACACCAAAGATTTTATGATCAGTGTTCGGGGAAAGAGTGACTTCGGCAAATGGACATGATGTGACATGATGTTGATGCTGTATGTTTATGTAGATGAATGATCGTGATTGTGATGCTGCTCATAGCAGTATGCTGATTGCAAGGAAAGTTTGTTAACTATTTGTAACTGAAAGATACGGTGATTGGTATGATCTGTAGGCTAGTTTTGGTTTCTGGAAAGCCTTGCATCATTCAGGTTTCTGATGTTTCCATCTGATTATCCTCTGGTCTGCTGATTTTTAAATATTGGCACTGAGGTTAGTTGCTGTGATGGTATAAAAGGACCCAAGATTATTTTTTTGACCTGTACAATGCTGCGTATGATGGACCTGTGATGCATTACACTGACGCTGTTTAGTAAAATAATACTGTAATGTATGGTCTGAACCTTACGATTACATTGATTGAACAGAATAACTTGTTTCTGTTTAATTGTTTGATTGGTTCCATTAATCATTTTTAACCACACCCTTTTGCTTAATGTTTGAGTTGTAGCACAATTGACCATGATCGGACTGTGAAGTGGTGGTTGTGCCAATTCTGTTCTAAGGCACATGTGGCTCGTGGGTAACCATTGAATACCAATGCATAGCCAGTTGCTGCCTTTCTTGTTGGGTCTCGTTGAAAATGACTTTAGCAGTTGCCTAGCTTTCTGGCTGGTTTGCTTGCAGCGGGCTGTTGCTGCCCTTCCTGGTGTTCGTGTCAGGTTGGTACTAGCAGTGTTGGTATGCATACGATATGCCACTCCTGGTCACATCTTAGGGTTACATTTTATCTTTTTCTTTTATCTGTTCTAAAAGATCTTTTGCGATTATTATAATAATGACATTGTGATCTTATACCATATCACTCTTCATTCAAAAAAAAATTTATCCTGTATATATCACGTTAAGCTGTTAGATATAAAAGAAATTAACATACTGCCAAGCAAAAGAATTGATCACCATTTCAAGGCCCTTTTATATAGATAAAATGAGATTCTGCCCCATCAATATTTCAGGGGTGATTGCAGAATATATAAAAACAAATCATTGAACACCTTTACAGCAGAGATAGATTTCAAAACCAATTGATCACCCAAAAACAACACAAACAAATGAAGCAAAATGAATACAAAATGTTAGTATATGACCACAGATTACTGCTGTACTGTTTAGTAGTACCATTTATCCTATTGTATCACATTGTGTTCAAAGCTTGTGGTTTCTTCTTGCTTTGTTTTACCAATGGAAGAGATATGTGAATGAACCCAAACTTTCTCCGCTGGTTGTAGTACTGCTTTTGATCATCACGATGATCTTTTTTACCAGGTTTTGGAGGAAATGTTACATCTTCCCTTAGGAAATGAAGCATTTAGTTCAAAGCTACATTTTGCCTTTCAGTGCTGTGGCCTTCATTAGGCCTTCTCACCACACATTCTTCAGGAATTAATTGTTTCCTGCTCAAGATATCCCTCATTGAAACTGTTGGCCTTGAAACAGGCTTTGGTTCAGCGTCCACTGTTGGGTTTTGCTTGTCCAGATCATGTAATGGAGACCGCGGAAGATGCTGGTGCTGATGCTGATTATGAGGATGAGGTGGATGAAAATTGTTTATCTTGTTAGCATTGTAGACTTCCTGTTTTTTCTGTTCATGCTCTGAAATCCATCTCCTGAGAGCCTCTTCAGCATCAAGTTGCTTTCTGTTGGCGATTTTCAGTCTATTAAGAGCCTCTTCTAATGCATCTTTACTGTGTTTAACTTCTTCTGAAGCTTCCTCCAGCTTCCTCAGGATTGCAAATTTGGAAATATTTGCTTCAGCAAATTTGTTCATGGCATGAATTACTTTTCTGTTTGAAACCTCTTCTGCCCTTTGAACTTTCGGGTTTCGAGGAGATGGCTCCAGCTTTGACAAGGAAAATCCCGATGAGTTGTCAATGGTTGACAAAGCCTTCATTCCAGCAAGGGCATTCATTTCAATAAGAGCAAGAGCTTCTTCCATCTTCTTCGCTGCAATCCACCTCATTTCAGCAGTTTTTATACAGGGCTTGTTTTGTTCATTCCTTGGCAGTGGGATTGCTCTTGGAACTTCAGTTTTTGCACGATCAACCATTTTCTTAAACTGCTCAGGCTTGGAATTGTTGTGAAAAGGCGGCCTTAAAATGTTTGAAGAATTCTGAAAATTCCCATGATTTGCTTCCACATTGTTGGCAATCTGTGGCTTCTCCCTTACTCGTTTTAGCTCCTCTTCTAGAGATGCCACCCCTGCAAACTTAGAAGTTAGCCCCTCACAGGTCTTTTCAAGTAAAGTTTTCTCTTTCTTCATTTTCTTACTTAGAGAGTCAACAGAAGTTTGAATCATCCCAATGTCATTGATAGTTTTACCAAGGCTCAATTTTGCTTGTTCAAGATCAAATCAGGAGACGAAATCGAGCCGAAACTCCCAATTCTGATCTGTTCATAATGTTCCTTGTTCATTTCTTTGATAGCAAAAGTTGGCAGGTGTTCATCTGAATTATTCACGTCTGGTGTGGTCATGCATTTCAAACCCTTTAAACTCTTCCACAAGGGTCTCCAATTCTTTTTCTCCAACGCTGATCCTTGTTCCTCCACTTTCTTTATGTCAAACTCTTCAATCCCATGCAGCTCAGGACAAATTCTCTTACCTATCAGAAAATCATTAACAAGAACTGGAAAATAGAACATAAAATACATACAAATTTGGGAAAAAACTGATACATGCAAATTGCAAACTAAAATGATGAAACAGGTTGAAGTTTCATTTTCCCCTGCTTTTTCCATATGAAATATAACTTCTGAACCTGAATAGTTACAGGAGCTGACATGTCTAGTAGTTTATGCCATTTTCAAACCATCCACAACGACTAACTTTACTACAAATATTTCCAAAAACATGAAAGAGAAATATATAAATTAAAATAAGAAATCATGGGAAGAATTTATAAAACTACAACATTCAGGATTTAGGATAATAATAAAACAGAATTCCAGAATTCAAAACATGAAAAAGAAATAAGTGAAATTAAGATAAGAAATTAGGACAAGAATACTATACCAGAATTACAGAAAAACACAATTCTCTTAATCAAATTTTAAGTTTTAAAAAATTCAATGTTAGTGGCACAGTTTCAATCTCCTCTAATTATATACAAGAAACAAAGAAACCAAGATTTTTTTTTTCATAAGTTAAACTACAAAAGAACACATTAAAACTATTTTTGGGACTGCATGCGTAAATTCCATTAAGACAAACCACACAACAAAACAAAGCCTACCTTTCTTACATCATAGTCAAACCAAAAGATGAAATACTTACATATGCCTCTCCAAACTTGTATAATGGCACCCAAGGTCCGCTGCCACCAAACCGGGTCACAGCCTCCTTAACCGATCCGAAAGGCTTTGTGCCTGGAGAAGATCACTTTTCTTGCATGGTTGACCTTCTTGGTCGGGCAGGGTATCTCAGCGAAGCTGAAAGAGTAATAGACAGTCAGCATATTGAACCCGATTCTGATATCTGGTGGACGTTGTTTAGGCTTGTGCAGTTCATTGTAATCTAAGGCTTGGAAGAACTATTGCTGGGTTTCTTCTTGAAACAGACCAAAATAATCCATCAGTTTATGTGCTTTTGTCCAATACTTATGCAGCTGAAACGTTACGGTTGATTTGGGAAGTGTAAAATAAAAATGTACATCTCATTACTAACTCATCTGTAGCACTAGTTTTGGACAAGCTGGCCTTGATGAATGGATCTGGGGCCAGAATCATGGAGATCATTACAAGTAGACCAAGGATTCGAATGCAAGTCTTGAAGATACCATGTTCAAGAATTGTTTGCTCGCCATTATTGTCCATAAAGGACAATTGCGATTTGCAATTGGATTTGAGAGGTTTCAAAGAAACCCACAATATAGACTTGGCCGTGCTAAATATAAATTCACTCATAAACGGGGAGATCAAACTCATGGCTATCATACTCAATAGTAAAGTCAGCAAAGCATGTAAGCCGTTATCATTTCAATCCAATAAGTTTAAGTTGGTAAATTTTTGTGGTTAGTTTTGCTGGAAAATAATCTACACGACCATTTTATTGCATGCAGGTTTATGAATGGCATTCTTCCAGTCTCCGGAATCCATTATCTTTTGTTCAAGGAAGTAATATTTCTCCCGTCAATGTTCTGATTGCTGAAATCTATTTAGTCAACATGCTGAATCTTTTTATCGACAATGTCATATAACAGGAATAAAGAATTTTTCTGTTTAAGTGTTTCTGTTTGCGAGAATTTTGTTCATACAATGAAAGAACAGTTCCTAGTTGTCTCTAATCTAGCACGGTTGTACAATGTCCTTGGTATACATGTAACATAACGTGCACTCATCAGTTCACCAGTCTAAGCAAAGAGGAGTTAGTTCAAGCTTTTTATCTTGGGTGCTAAAAAGCTGAAGCTACCATGATGGGGCATATCACCCGACTGGAGGAGCTCTATATACTGCAGGAACTGTGGCAGGGAAGAACATCTGCCTCAATCCCTCTGCCTTGATTATGGGGAAAATAATACCTGATGCACTCTGCAGAAAAGGGGGAAAAAGGTTAAGCAAAGAGTGGCAAAATCCGGCATACCATTTACAGATATCATGTTTTTCTTCAGTATACCAATGGACCTCGCATTAAGTGTAGCAGTTGAATTATTGTTAAGTATGATGCTATCTTGCCAATTATGCCACGTGATACCAGTATCAGTTGACAGAAAAAGAATGAGCTTATTCAGTCCGAAAAAGAAACAAAAAGTATGAGTAGCATGTCAAATAAATTGTGCAGTGAGATTATTCAGTTCATAATTAGAGACGCAAGGAAGGAAAAGAACAGGGAACAAAGGGGAGTTAAAAGGCAAAAAGAGAGAGATCAACAGCATAAAGGGTGGAAAATACATACCGAAATTAACCTAGCTCCAATACACATGCGTTGAAGTGAAGGAAATGGTAGGAGCAGGCGACCAACTCCATAAATTGCCACAGCAAAGAAATGAAGAACTAGACTCAATGGTCGAGGGTTTAGACCAGAGAGTAAAGCCACTGGTCCTGTTGAAAAAACACCTCCAAGGCTTAAATAGTCAAAACAGGCTTGGCGCATTTCCTCCCTTGCTTGATCAGGGGAAGCAGAAAACACCTTATATAGGGCACCAGCGAGAGTATTTATTGTAGATGCCACAGGCTGCAATAAACGCCATATCATGAGCAAACAGCAAAATTTTGAAAATAACATCTCTAATTCATTGTATATCTTCAAAGACCATTCAGGTTGGAAAGAAAAGGGGCTTAACGTCAGCAGTGGAGCCTAGAATCAAGAGTTTTTTTCCTTTATGTCATAAGCATTACCAGACCATCATTTCAGATTTTTGAAGATGACACCAAAACTTAGTCACTAGGATGGTCAAGCAGCTGAAACAATTCTTTCTGTGGTGATAGCTGCAATTAAACCAAAGATGAAATGCAAGTATCTTACCATGTTTACTTGGTTACATAACAAACAAAACAAAATTCACCGTGCTAGGTACTCGGTCAGGATCAGGGCAAAAGAAGCCAACTATATGAGATATGGCACAAATAAATTCAAAGGGTGAAAGGGGTTACTAAAACAGGATCATAGCATAGGCATCCAACTAACCATGCGTAATATGTAAAATGATTCAAGATACTTGGTCAGGGAAGCTGCATCATGAAGGTCATGCAGAGGCCTAAGAAGATCCCGAAGTACAACAATATCAGACAATGCTACGGTCATTCCTCCACCAGTTAAGGGATGGCGCATGTTGAAAGCATCACCCATTAGAAGTGCTCCAGGAGTCGGATGAGGATCAGCTGGCATGCTTCTATTTGGCATGGTTCTAATATTACCTTTGTCAACAGCAGCTATGAAGGCATCATGAAGCTCAGGTGGGACCTGAAACAGACACACTTTTTGATTAAACCAAGGTAATGTGTGCAGCAGGCAATTGATGCTTGATCATGAACAAAGAATGAAAGTTAAATTTTATGGTCAAACTACATAGAAACAGCTTTATCCAAAATCATGCATCAATTAGCAGATACCTGTGGTGCCACCATGGTCTTTAAATAATTTGCCATTTCCCCATTAGCAACGGAAGGTACTTTCTTCCCAGGTACATCGACCAAGCAGCGAACCTCTGTGCTACTGATTGGATAAAACAAGATGGGTGAAGGATCTGCTAGGATAACATGCCCATAATTTGAAAATGGGAGTTCACAGTTCTCTAAGACCAAACCCACAAAACAAGAGGGCACATCCACCTGTTGAAAAGTATAAAACGCTAAATTTTCTTTCCTACTGGAACATCATAAGCACCATAAGCACGTGCAAATTAAAGGATTAGATTTAGTATTCAAGCAGACAATGCAATTTTCAGAAATTGTAGCTCAAATGATAATAATCTTGATGACCATGATTGCTTATAATGATTCTTAGATAAGAAGAAAGCGAGTATTTATATAACAAATATAAGATGTCAACTTCACCTTTGGTTTGCAAAGACAGCGGCGTAGGTTTGAAAAGCAACCATCACATACAATCGTAAGAGGAGCATAAGCTCTTAGTTCTTGACCATCCTTAGTTTTGTATTGCACCCCTCTAATGGTCCCATTTTCTTCAAGCAGAGATGTTACTGTTCCTTGTTCTAGCTGTACACTGAAAATTAAACATACAAGGGTGAAAGAAGATTAATTGCAATCTTGTAACCATTTACATGAAATTCAACAATGCTGCAGTCAACAATGAAAAATGGCAAAATCAACAATGCTGCAGTCACTTGGCAACTAATATTTATGCATCACGGATCCTAGAAGTAAAATAGATTACTTGGGAAGGGTGACAGCTTTTTCTCTCATCTTCTGTATGAAACGCCCGTTATGGAAGCTCCTCCCAGCAACATCTGAATGAAATTTGTCCAAGGGATATGACAATCTACTATTTCTCCCATCCTTGAAGAGAGCATACCCAAGCACTCGCTGGGCATCGATTTCCTCCACGCAATCTGTAATCAGAAGAGATATATATTGCATTTTACAGGTTAAAAAAAAATCAGAACAGATACATATCAATTTTCATGCATACCTTCAAGGCCCAATTCAACTAATTTAAGGTATCCTCCGGGCTGCAGCAGTTCCCCAACAATTCTGTCTGGTTCTGTCAAATCTCTTTCTATCACATGAACACGCCTTCCATCCTAAAATTAGCAACAAAGTTATAGCCGAATTAGTATTAAATAACTCGAAAAGGATTATTGCAAATGAACACCAGTCTAAGCCCTTCTATGATTCTAATGCTTCAGAAATCAAGAAATCTGCAATTTACAAAGCAAATTTGAAAGAAAGTTCAAGTCGGTATCTTTTATTTGTTCCTTAACGAAAACCTATCCAAGTTAATCTACCTCTAGGATTTCTTAAAAAGTAGTAGAATCTTACAAGAAAGACAACAATACAATACGAAATCCAAATTGAGGTTTCAATGACTTCAAAGTTCATATCAAATCATTAACTGGTCACCGACCATCATCTTCATTTAGTTAGCAAAGTTAGTTCCAAGTTGAATTCCAAGTTCAATAGCTAACAATCTGATATAGTTTGCACTTTTTATACTTGTCAAACTCCAAAATCTACAGCCCTTTTGAGCTGAAGATCCAAATTTGTAGTCAAGGCCAACAAAAATCTAAACAGAACAGTCAAACGAATATATATAAATATATATAGTATCTTTTTTCATGGCAATTACGTCAACAAAATCAAACTCCAAACTGATTTGTTGTTACGATAAGATAATCCCAAGCAAGACAATTTTGCAAAGCGTACCCATGTGTAGCTTACTTGCAGGCAATAATTAACTAAATTTCAAGCCAAATCAATGAAAACCCAGATTTTCTTTAACAAACCCAATTCTTCTTGTATAAAAAAAAATGAAATCTCATTAAAAAAAACACAACTTTTCTTAATGAATAATGACCAAAATTCAATAATTATCTCTATATTTGACAAAATCAATCAACAAAAAAGAACACAGTAAATTATAGTAGATAATAAAAATAATTAAAAGAAAACAGAATTTACCTTGCCAAGAGTATGAGCAAGAGCAGCACCAGCAACACCGGCACCGACAATGATGACGTCATCGCCGAAACCATTTTCCGGCGAGCATTGTCCTATGTCGGTGCTGTTAACAGCGTCGGTTTGGATCTTAAATTCCCTAGAACCTTTCTCGATTTTCCTCTTCCTATTGTTCTTACGCCGCAAAATGAAAAGAAAAACAAAGCCAAAAAGAGAAACCAAAAACGTACCAACGATAAAATTTTCAAAAACCATCACCATTCCCTTCGAACGAGAAAATCCAGAAGCGGAATTAACAAGAAGAGAGTTAGAACTTTGTTGGTTTTTGCAAAAGCAGCAAAAGCTGGTAGTTTTGAAGGGTTTTCTCAGCTTTGATTTTGATGAAAAACTCTGATATGTGGTGGATTTGAGAGATATTGTAAGAGATGGTACCAGGACCACGGCTTCTTTATAGGGAAGCCGGATGGTTGTTAGAGCTAAGCTAATTAATGGCATTGCAGAAGATGAAATATAATAAGGTTTAGAGAACAGGTCTCATTTTGATTTTGATTCTTAAAATTTACAGTTTCTGCTTCCTTTCATCAAACAGTTAAAACAGATGACCCTGTTCTTGTTTTTTCACGAAGACAAAATTTGTGGTCTTGATGTGAAGAGTCTCAAGATTCAAGAATTATGAGAAGGAAAAGACAAGTTACAGGCAAGCAAAGCTAAGCTGGACGACATGAAAAAAGAAACAAAAGTAGTCTGACTCTGGCTGGTTTGTCAGGTTTGGGATCTTTCTACTTTCTCTAACTGCTTTCTATTATTGTGTTGTAATTACTTGGAATAGGACATAAGATTCGATTACGTAATTTTTCCTTTTAAGGGGGGAATGACAAAATGACCATGATTTTGGCTGTTAGCGGATGTGGATGTCATTTGACTGTTTTGTTCTGTTTTCCCCTTTTTTTTTTTATTATCATTTTATGTTCGTAATATATGTGGATCAAAGAAGTTCTCCATTTCCTTTCAATATGATTTTAAGGCTCATTTGTAAATATGATTTTTATAATTTATAAAAGATCCTATATGCATTAATATAATTATGAATATATTAAAAAATAAAGTAACTATTACGAATAAATTCTTGAATTATATTAAAATGTTCATTTGATATATAAATTTTAAAAATTTTTAATATAATACTTAAATTATAAATTTATTAATTAATATGATATTTAAAAAATTATTTATGCATTATATATTATCATTTAAAATTAATCACATCAAAAATAAATATTATATTAATTAGTTAATCCATAATTTAAGTATTTACATTAGAGATTATTAAAATTTAAATATCATATTAAATATTTTATTATAATTCAAAAGTTAATCATAACATTAATCATAAAGAATAATTCAACCCATAATATATAATAATTGATTTATATCATGTCATTTTTCTTGCACATGAATTCTATTTAACTAGGTTTTTTTACCCGTGCCATGCACGGAGTTTTTTTATTATATTTTTTTATAGTTTAAATTTTTAATTTATATTAATTTTTATATTATATATAGATAAATAAAAATAATCATAATCATTTATAATTTGTTGTTTAAAATTAAAAAAATTATCAATATATAAATTATTATGAAAGAATCTAAATAAGCATTATAAAAGTTTTAGATTATGAAAGTAAAATTATATACAAATATCAATGAAAAAGTTAATCTTTTATTCACAATTATATAAATTTTTTAAAAGTATATATTATTTTAGTATAAAAACCGATATTTACACATGTGATATATCATGAAAGATTTTTTTATATTTAAGTTTGAAACTTTATCTTGTCAAATTTTTATGACAAAAAAAATATTGATTGTGAGAAAAAAAAAACATAAATATATATTTAATAATTATTTAATTTAAAAAATCTAAATTTTTAAAAATTTAGTTTATTCAAGTTTAATTTTAAATTAAGATAAAAAAAAGTTAGTATAATTTTAAATTTATATATGTGTGTAATTTTGAATTGAGATAAAATATTTTTTTATTTTAAATTATAAAAAAATAAAGAAAAAATTGATAAATAACAGTGATTCAACCACAAATTTTACTTATTTAAATTTATATGAATATTAACTTAGAGGGTGTATAATTTTTTATGATTTTTAAGATTTAAAAATTTAACTTTTAAAAGCTATTTGAATTAGATAAGAGTGAAATATGAGAAGATATATTTATTAGATTTAAATTAAGATAAATCTTATATATTTGAAAAAATTTTGATAAATGTAAATGTTGAAACTTTAAAATTTTTAAAAATTAAATAATTGATTTAATAAAATTATTTGAAAATATCTTACGTGTCAAAAATATAAATTGTCTAACTAAACATCCACATAAGTAAATCTTATCAAATTTTTATATATATTGTAATATAATATTATATATGATTTCATAAATTTTACTTTTCAATTTATATGGTTGATCCATACTACTATAAGTTTACGATAAACAAAATTGAAGTAGTATTTTTTTTTCATTATAGAAACTAGTCATTCCTAATGAAAATATATATTATGTTTATTAAAACATTTTAGACCGTCATAATATATATATATATATATATATATATAACTGAATCAGTAATTGATGAATTCAAAAAGGAAAGACTTTCAATTCCAAAGTCCTAACTCCAAACAACTTCCAAGTGATCCTTTTGACAACAGTTCATTTAAGAGTCTTAAATCACTTACATTAAGATGAACCTCTTTTTCATGATCAAAGTATTTTAATCTGTACTTAAAGCTCAATTTTTTTTTATATAAACATTAGTAATTTATTTCAGTAATTTTTATTATAATAATTTTTTTAGATCAATAATCTATTATCAATTGATCAACTGATAAATTAAGAAGCTGTAAAGATAGTATTGCCGAGCTACCTAATTATGCAATGGAATAAGCTAAAGCTATAGCTAATTCAAGTTGCATAATATAGCGCAGAATATAGGTTTTGAAGATGAAGCCTAACCCAAATTTACTACCAAAAGTCATAAGCCTAACCCTAAAGCGTCAGAGTGAGAGTGAAAGCTATCCAGGGACAGCCATGTGCCAACTGCTATTATGCTATTACTCTCCATTAAGAATCCTTTTACTATAAAATTCACGAGTCGTTCAGTATTACTATGATTATGATACTGTCTTTATTATAGAAAAAAATTGGAAAGCAACAAAATTTATACTACAATTTTTTTATAAAAAATCACAACTTAAATCTTAAAAAAAATAAAAAAAATTATAAATATTAAAATTTAAATCTCAAACTTTATAAATTTCACCTCTTAAAAATTATTTTATAAACCAGTTAAACTAAATTTGAATTCAATTATTATTTCTTTTAAACAAAATTCTCAAACTAACTTTTAATCTTAATTATTTCACTTGTTAGCAAGCTTTTAAATTCATTTCGATCCAATTGTTGACTTTCTTTTTCTTGCCATCACCAATTGTTGACTTGAGATTTATCATAGAGTAGCCAGAAACCATGAGTGGAGCTGTTGATTTATTCTTTCAATTGTTTGTTTTTGCAACATGGTCAACATAATTTACTTATTATCAGCTAATAATTAGCCTAAATAAATAAATAAATAAAAGCGTTAATTACGTGAATTAGAAAATAAAACATAATGAACTTTTTTCTTCTATTAAATAAAACATAATGAACTTTTCTCAACTCTAAACAAAAGACTTGCAACTGAATCAGACAGATTTTTGCTTTTTGCGTTTATGGGTAAAATCGGAACCTTCTCCCTTCATCCCATCATTCTGACCTCTCTTCGATGCCTGAGACCAAATAGTGCAAATGTTCAGTAGCTTTTTTCTTAGGAAAGTTGTTAAGAGAGGTCATTGAACATAGGCACAATTTTCAGATAAAATGTTCATATACCTTAGCAGAGAAAGTTTTGAGAGGGTCTCTGCTTTTTCTGAATTTTTTCTTGGCTCCGTGGCGACGTGCAGATTTATTATCTCCCATTGCAGCTCTAGCAAGCTTGACCATTTTGCTGGCATCACGTGTCTTTTGGTCTAACAGATAGTCAGGCACGTCCCGAAGATGAGGAGCAGGAGGGTCCTTGCTCAGAACCTTGTCATGTTTCAATAAATCTGGTCCAGTAAAAATCCGGTCTCAGACATCAGGATTTAGCAAGTACATTAGAAATAACTGAAATTGTTAACCTACTATGTTTATTACCTAGGTCTCTTGGATTTACTTCAAAATGAGCCTTCAACCTAAACAAATACAAGCACACAAGTATAAAAACACAAGACTAAAGTCAGTAGCAGACATTAAATTCATATGAAGGTAGACTGAGAAGGTAAAATGGCCACCAGGCTAAATTACAGATTTACAGATTCAATTTTGATTATCTTTTGTCGACTGGAAATATCTGAGTTAGATGTTGGTCATTAAATTCAAACTTTAAACTCAAACAGGTCATTTCAATGTTTCTAAACAAATGATTGGTAATCACTCACTTTTCAGAGTTGAGAATTTCATTCCTTAATTCCTGAGCTCGTGATTCTCTAACAGCAATTCTCGTCACGCTCCTTGCCACATCCTACAAGATTCCCCCCCTCTCAAAATAAGCATGTGCACTTAACTATCAACCATTTAACACTGAAACAACTTCCTCTCAATGAAGCTGTCTACCGCAATTTATAAAAGAAATCATGAATGAAATGCAAAACTTAAATATGTCAAAGCTAAAAATTTTCACTGTTGGACATCCATTAGCCCTTACCATAATAATTAAAAATAATAGATTTGACTTTATCAAAAACAAAAAAGATATGACACTAATAGGAACCAAATAATATTACCTCAGCCCTATATCGTAAAGACTCCACTGCATCCTTGGTCAGCAGTGAAAATGGCACAATAATATCTGTGTCATCGTCTTCTTCGTTACCCAAGAAGGATTTAATTTCTTCAAAAATTTCCATCTCATCTGGAGAAACCTGTTATAATGAAAGAAGGATTAGATTGGCAAGAGCCACAAAAAGCAAGTTGAAATAATATGTATTCTACTACAATCATAAATGTCATTTAACATCAAGCATTGAAATAATATTTATTCTGCTACAATCATAAATGTCATTCAACATCAAGCTCATCATTTTGAGATGCACCTAGCCTATACACAGAAACTATAAACGATCTCTAATCAAAGCCAAAGTAAATGACTTGACACCAAAGAATCACCGTTCCCATGCCAAAAATACAAGGCGCGGAAAATAGTAAAAAGGGCAATGCAGAATATATTCATATGCACTGTGGCCCCTATAAAATTTTCCAATTTTGTCAGACAAACTCACAAGAGAGACAGATGCACCAGCACTATATGCTCTTCCAGTGCGTCCAATACGATGTACATATCCCGAAGCACTTGAAGGCATATCAAAATTTATAACCTGTGCAAGGAAGAAACATAGAAACAGCAATAAAATCAAATTTTGGAAAAGGAAAAAAAAAAAACCGATAAAAAAAATACTCCACATTGTAACCAAAGGCCAGTAAGAATAGCACATGATTAAAAACTTATGCTAATAGCAATCCCCATAGACCAAAAAACAACGATTTTGAAGCTTAGCTAAGAATTGATTAAATTATCTTTTTTTGTCATTGGTTTACCGTGTGGACATTTTTGAAGTCGATTCCCCTCACAACACCAAACTCGGAGTCCAGTTTTGGCTTAGCATGCTTTCTGGACTTCCTTGAGTCCACATGTTTGTCCCCATTGGCTTGTTCCTTCTCTTTTGTTTGGTTGTCATCAGTCGCAATCAAATAATCAAAAAGCCCAGCATTGAATTCCTGACGAAAGCAAGAAAAACACAGGTAGTAAGCAACTAATCTTACTAATATTAGTAGATATTAGTCAGGTAACAATCACAACAGACACAGCAAATATTATTGTCAAAATTTTTCATCTTTCAGCTCTAGCCTTACAATTTAACATACATAGTAACATAGATACTTAATAGAATACATGTAAAATATAGTCTTTTTGCCCAGTATAGTTAAAAATCTATAGACAAATAAAATTCATTTGAAACAATACTAGTCAGCATACCTCCAGGATATGTAGACGAGAGTTCTGAGGCAACTCAGCATTCAAGATAGCAGACTTGATTCCAAACTGCCCACAGTACATAATGAGAAATAGGATAAATGAATTAATTACTATAGGTAGTTCAACTTAATTGGAAAGAACAGCAAGAGCTTAAAAAGTGCTAGAGCCTTCAGTAGCTAAAACTGATCAACAAACATTATAAAGTGAGCATAACATATTAAAATAGTATCATTATGTCATAAGCATTGTAATTTCCATGAGATGCATCAAAATTAAATATTTTCAAACTAGGTCTAATCAAAGATAGTGCTTAAATGCAATCAAACACTGACATTCAGCAAAATAACAATTATGATATGATATAAATCTACACAGCTAATGTGACATAGTTCAACCATGCAAGTTGGCCATTACTTTCAACTTTATGATAGGCAATCAAATGAAAAGCATGCAACGTGCAAACATTAATTAAGTTAATTAGTGAAAAGGAGGCATTAAGTTTAAGATGGTGATAGAATACCTTTTCAAAGAATAGTTTCAATCTGAAACCAGTATCAATAGCATTAGTAAAAATCAAAACTTTCTTCAGCACCAACTCCAACTTCAGGAGAGCAAAAACATAAAGTAACTTATCATTTGTACTACACGAAATCTGAAGAACATAAAAGATAGGGGAAATGGGTCAGGAAACTTATGAATTAAACTACAAATAACTTTTGCAATCCATTAAGCAACATGGAAGAATAATTTAGTTAAACTATAGTTACAAATTTGAGAAAAAATAGACCAACTAGATGCAATAGCACTCACAATTTCCCACTATAGGTGTATAGGTTCTTACCCAAAATTGCTGAACATTTTTTGAGATAACCTCATCCTTGACATCTTCTACTTCTGACAATGTCAAAACAAATGGATTGTGCAAAATCAACTTTCTAAGTTGGTCAACATCAGGGCTGCCAAATATCAAATGTCAAAAATAGATTGATCAGCAGGGATTGGCAATCTTAATAGAAAAAGAAGAATAGCACATTATTAATGCAGGTAAATTTTATACGTCCAGTGACGGTAACAAGCATATAATTGTCAAAACAGAATACAATTAAGAGGATGGTGCATATGGCAATAAATCAATGGGCTATCAGGAAGGTACATGAACGTGAAAAGGCTTCACCACAAATGTCTTAACCTGGTATTAATAAATACAAAGCTTACACCAATAACAGACCTTGAAGTAGCAGACATAAGAAGGCATTGACAACGTCTTGGAATGACAGGCGTAAAAGCTTTAAGATCATCTCCAAAGCCAAATTGCAGTAAAAGATCTGCCTGAAAATATTTATCCATCAATGACCTCATTAAGAAAAGACCAAGGAACCATGTTCATTAGTATAAATAACACAGAGACAGCATCTCAATTGGCAGATTTATTTGATATCTGCTAATTAAGTTGGAAACAAGTGAGCATTTAAGGTATACGGTCCCATTCCAGATAACAGTATAACATGTTTTGGGGGCGGTTCACAAATTTTACATACAGACTCTTATGGTTGCTCAAATCATAAATTCATAAGAAAGTTGCTCTAAATTTGACTCAAATTCTTACCTCATCAAGGACAAGAATTTCTAGTGATTCACTGATAGAAGTCGACATAAGTAATCCAGCAGACATGCAATCCCTTATGCACTTCGGGGTAGTTACCAGAATATCCGGAGGGCCAGCCAATGCAGCTCGCTGCAAGTAATTTTAATATTGCCAGAGAAGAAAAAAAAATCAGTAAATAGGGTTCAATTCGCTAAAAGTATAAAAAAAAATGCATCAGTAATCAAACCAACCAATTCAGAAGCTGGCATGCCACTAGTCAACTGCACAATTTTCAATTGAACTCTACATAATTCAATCAACGAAACAGCCTGCTTATAAACCTGAAAACCAGTTATACAAGCAAACACCTTAAAATTAATCAAAATATAATACTCAAAATCTAATAAATAAACTTCTATTCAGTATTAAATTTCAAAAACCAGAAGGAATTTAAGTAAAACAGCGTGCCTGTTGACATAATTCACGCGAGGGGACAAGAATGAACCCAGCTGGAGCAAGCCGGGACTTTGAACCGGAATCCGCCGGGAAAAGCCTCTGAAGCAAAGGCAGAAGATACGCAAAGGTTTTGCCAGTGCCGGTTCTAGCTTGAGCAACCACATCCTTGCCTTGCTAACAACACGCGGTCACCATTTCTCAACCATTAATCAATAAAAAATAACGATAATTAAGCAATGATTCAAAGATGATTGAACTTACTAGAATGAGAGGGATTGCGACACGTTGAATTGGAAAAGGCTTGTCAACGCCTTTCTTGAGAAGAGCTCTGATCAATCGATGATCGAGGCCTAATTCTTCGAAGCTTTTCTCTTCTTCTTCTTCTTCTTCTTCTTCCTCTTCTTCCTTATGTTCATCTTGGTTAGGTTTGGGATCTTGTGGAGGCTTCTCTTTGCTCTTTTTAGCCATTTTTGATCGAGAGTTTTAGGTTTGACGATGAGAAAATGGGGAACTATCGGCTTTAAAATTAGGGTTTTTGGAGAAAGCGGGCACAGGTATTAGGGTTTTAAAAGGGGATAGAGAGGAGGGACTGTGATTGATTTGTGACAAAGTGGGTCAGCTTATGGATCGGATTCAGGAATCAGGATCCACCTGCTTTAATCTCCGAAGCTGTTGCCTTGGGTTGCTTTAAGACGTTCAAAATCCAACAATCAGAGTCGAAATTGGGCTCAAAATTAAATTCCTAAATCGGCCCAATAAAATATGACGGATTGGATTGGACAATAAACTAGTTGAGAACTTGAAATATTTTTTTTGTAGTAATATCATTTTATGTATTTATCATCGTTCAGAGGCATTTGATTAATACAATTTTGAATTCTAAAAGAAAGTATGGTCTATAAAAAAATGCGATACTCAAATTTTTTTTTTTATTTTCATGGTATTTTATATTCAAATTCATTAGTTTGGTTAGAAGAATCCACATATATTAATTTTTGTATATCATAATATCCTGAAATAATTTTTTATTTTATTTTATTTATAATAAATATCTAAATGACAAATAATACATTTATCAGTAAAAGAAAAATAAATATTTTAATTGAGTGTTATTTTAAATTATAAAATATCACTAATTAAGGCATTTGTAAATATGAATGTTTTAATTGATAGGGTAAATTTTATTTACAAAAAAGATCAATTAAGGCGTTTTTTTACACAAACATCTTAATTGATGATATTTTAAAATTATAAAACCGATTAATTAAGATGTTTGTGTACAGAAACGTCTTAATTGATCTATTTTAAAAATTATAATGATTGATCAATTAAAGCATTTTTGTACACAAACGCCTTAATTGATCATCAATTAAATTATAAAATTGATCAATTAAAGTGTTTGTGTATAGAAATGTCTTCATTGATCTATTTTTAAAATTATTTAATTGATCAATTAAAGAGTTTATGTATACAAACGCCTTAATTGATAATCAATTAAATTATAAAACTGATCAATTAAGGTTTTTGTGTAAAGAAATGCCTTAATTGATCTATTTTTAAAATTATAATGATTGATCAATTAAATCATTGTTGTACACAAACCCCTAATTGATCTAACTTTAAATTATAAAACTGATCAATTAAAGTTTTTGTGTACAAAAACACCTTAATTGATCAATTAAATAATTATAATGATTATCAATTAAGGTGTTTTTGTATACAAACGAGTTAATTGATCATCACTTAAGGCTTTTATAAACTAAAACGTCCTAATTGATCTATTTTAAAATTTATTTAATTGATCAATTAAGGTATTTTTGTTTACAAACGCTTTAATTGATCATTTTAAAGTATTTATTCCATATTCTTGAACCTTAAAAAACCAAATGGCTAATACAATTGAACGATAAAAGCTGTAATGCGTGTATTTGCCTAAATCCATCAGCCCATTCACTTGGCATTTTGTTTCTTCATCTCCCTCATCGCTGCTAACTGTGAACCACTCAATGTCGTCACACATAGTTTTACTAAGTATGTGTGAATTTTATCCCTTTTGTATAATGTTTATTTGTCTATCTATGTTATCTTTTTCCTTCCTTACTATATATATTTTTATAAGCACTTACCACCATCACCAACATCACACACCCTCCCTGCATTGCATGCATGGTATTTTTTTTGTTGTTTGGTTAGAGTATTGTAGTTTGCCAAATGGTTTTATGGAAAATAGTTATTATATTTTTCTTCATTTGTTTTGCATGGAACTTTTATGATTTGATGAAACATATGATAGTTTGTACCCTGTATAATATTATTGGTTTTATTATGTTTTATGTATATTGGTTTATTTATTGTAGTGGGTATTGGTTTTTTTTTACTGTGTGATATATATAGAGAGATAGTTTTGTGTATTTCATATAATTTTCATCAAAATCGCTAGTATTATATTATCCAAAGAACATATGTCTCCTTCAACTAAACATAAAGAATACACATTCATCATGAAAAAACAAAAAAAAAAATCAATGGGACATGGTAAACAAATTAAAGTGACTGGGATGAAAATTCACGTCAAGTTCAGTCAAGATGGAGATGAATTTACGTGGATGAAAATCAAGGGGATAAATTCACGTGGTTTATCCTAATGTTAAATTTAAATTTAAATCATTTCACGGCACATACATTGACCACCAAACATTTTTCTATCAATACAAATATGATTTTTATAAATCTAAATTGTGTTGTAATTCACACAATGACGATTTTTGTTCCCTGAATACAAATATAAAATTAATCAATACAAATATTTATTTGGTTACACAAGTATGATGTCTGTTATAAATAAACGAATATATAACATGACACACAATTTGCGTATCTACAACCTTCCCCTTATTGCCTTAATTAAATAAATATGTTTAAAAAATATTCTATGAACCCAAATGCAAAATATAGTGCAATTTACGTGTCTCTAATATGAGAAAAGTCAAATGATAAGTGATATGCATTACATTCGTTTAATTATTTCCTAATACAATTACTTTTAAATAAAGCCACCAAAGTAAAGAAAAACTTAATTTTATGATTTTTTTTTAATCTATACTCACCAGCAGTGATCATTTCATCATGTGCGAATTCATCAAGTTGCATTATTTCATTAAAAAGTGACATTCTTCTATCTATATTCTTAACTTTTGTCTAAAAGTAAGCTGAAATGCCCTCTATCACATTCACAAGCCTATCATATGAAGCACCAAATTTGCTAATGTGATCAACCAAATTAGCGATTAGTCCATCTTTGCTCCTAAAACTCTTTTTGCTTGACAACATCCTAGTATTTCTTGAAACAACTAAACCAATTTCTTCTTATTCATCTCTTATCTTTGTATTTCTTTTAGTATGGATCAAACTTTGGAGAGAAGTAAGCATCTTCAGAACATTCAATGACTCAATCGGATTGGCTGCTATTTTGACTCTTTGATTGATTGCTTTATTAGATCCGAAAATAACTTTAAAATCATCAAAGAAAGGAAAAAGTTTGTTCTTTAACCCTTTAGCATGTGGATGTGCTTGTCAAAAGTTAAAGCAAATATGAATAAAATAAAAAGAATAGAAAAAAAACATAATTAAGTAAGGTAAGCCATAATGTAATCTTAAAAAACTTGCTTGAACCCATTAATCAAAAAAAATTTTCTCAACTATGATACATTATTCTTGATCATTCTACCCAAATCCATTAGAATTTTTTGTATCACAAATTGTGTGATTTGTCTTTTGAGTAGCTTAACCCTGGATTCGATGTGGGGGTGGTTTTGAGTTGTGAAGTAAGAATTAGTTACTCTAGCATTCATTTAAGATAATCTAGATATCCGACATGAAATATCCTATTATCCGTTTTTTATCTAGGATTTTTTATAAAAAAATGTAGACATTGAACTAGATAAGAATCTTCCTCTCAAGTCCATGAATGGTTACCTACCCTTAAACTTTTAGTTTTTCTTCTAGGTAGGCCTCATACGAATTACGATGTATTGGCATATGATGAAGACATATTCAATTCCTAATCACATGGTTAGACATTATGCAATACCATCAATATAGTAAATCAAAAATCCATAAAAAGAATGAGTTAAATGAATACACAAGGAAAGAAAACAAAAAAATCTGCATTCAAATTTTTAATATACATTGGACATTCAAGAATAAAAAAATATCATATAAAATATATATTCAACATAGATATAAAGTAAATTCTACACTCAACCATATGGTACATAAATTAAATAAATTGAGTAAATGTTATGACATACAAAACATTTATATAATGTTCTTATCCTCGGGATTGCAACCAATGGATGAACATCTTATTAGCTAATTATCTCTAAACTGAATCAAAGAATTAGATGACTCAATATGCATAATCAAATCTTGATGTTCAAATTCATCTGGTTAGCTAATACTTCATTTAATAACATCACCTTTAATATGATAAAAAATCATCTCAAACCTAATAAAATTATGGAGAAGGCAATAAACAAAAATAATTCTACACTGTGTCTTTGTTAAATAAAATGACTTTTATCTTAAAATTGCCCATCTAACTTTCAATATATCAAAATATATCTCGATACAATTTCTTGCTCGAGAGTATTTCATATTGAAGTATTCTTGCGAGGGTCGTTGGTTGGAGTTCTACCCTTCAATAACTAAAATGGTATCGTTGACCTCTATAAAGTGCTAAGAAACATTCTTCATTTGTGTATTTAGTATCACACAAATAATAATTACTTGTTATAATGGAACAACATTAATAATATGAAAAAGAAATGTTCTGCTATAAACATAACATAAACATAATAAAAATTATACCTTATAGGATCCTCAACTCATTCATGCATGTAATAGCATCCTTTAGCACTCTACCATCTGTTGCAGAACCTTTTCATATCGGTAGAACATATATGAATTGTATATTTAGGATACAAACACAAATGACATTGGTAGCAATTTCAATTTTTCTAGTCTTGTATCTTGGCCTATCAACTATATCTACATTGACTTTGATGTATATCCCATCTAAGGCACCCAAACAACTCTTAAATCATTTTTGTCTCTTATCTATTGAATATTTCAATACTGGTTCAGGTTTTTTTAACAACATAATATACAGTCTTAAAATAGAATTCAATATAGAATGAAATTATCAACTAATTGTCTCTCCAAATCAGGTCACTTGACACTTTATAACTCTATTTTTTGTATGATAGGCTATGATGTGGAGGAAGCTAATAACTAGTTCTTCTGTTAACATATGTCTAGATGATTGTAATCTTACTTCTGTTTTAAGTAAATGACATAATTTTGTGAAAGCTCTCTTGTCCATTTTATTATTATCTACACACCATCACTCTAAAAAATCATTGCATTTATGTTTAACTCTCTAATCTATAGCCTATCATAATATATTTCACCATAAGATAGTTTACATCATTTTATAACTTTCATATGTAATAAATTTATAACAACAAAACATAACATATGCTACAAAGTCTCCATCTGCTTCAAATGCATCATAAGTATTGTAACCAATTACATCTTTGTTCTTAGTGATAAATCAGCTATAACTGTTTAGAATATAGAATCTCGTTAA